ATATAAAACATGTTTTGAGTTATTTCACACTTTTTGGTTTTACTTCATAATTCCAAATGTATTTATTCACATTTTTCATGCTTTCAGTAAGAATCTACAACGTAAATAGTCATGAAAATAAAGAAAAACCATTAAATGAGAAGGTGTGCCTAAACGTTTGACTAGTAGTGTATATTAGAAATAAAAAAATAAATTAAATTATCTCAACCAATAAATTTCTATATGAATGATCTGAGGGGGCAGCAGGGTGGCATGGTGGTTAGCACTGTTGTCGCACAGCAAGAAGGCCCTGAGTTCATCATTCTGGGGTCTTTCTGTGTGGAGTTTGCATGTTCTCCCCGTGTTTGCGTGGCTTCCTCCCAGAGTAAGCGAATGGATGGATGATCTGAGAACACTCATCATTAAGAGTTTTTTTTTTTTTGCAGTACCAGATTAAAAGGGACTTTTTCTCCTGCATGCCAGCTTTAGTTAAATGTTTCAGTCACATGGAAAAAAATGACTCCATCAAACTTTCTTTGTGCCTGCAAACTAATTTTTTTTAAAGGAAACTCATATGAGAATGAGTGTACTGTCCTCCTCAGGACTGATATGATGACACATGTGTCTATTTAACATTTAGCAGGCTGGTTCGTGATCAAGCAGATTCATAGCAAATGTGATCCAGACCTGCAACTGTTTCTTGTTCACGAGCCTACTTCCTCCCAGCTGTCAGCATGAGCATACACTAGATAAGGCAGCGTCTCCTCAGATCACTCAGCACGGCAACACAGGCTGCACAGCGGCAACTGCCTAACTGCACATCAGCACAGAAAGTTTTATGATCCTCACTGTGACTCACTTACTGTGATGACTTGTTTTGGTTTTTGCGTTCAGGCCAAAAAGGAATTTAATCACTGAGAAAAGAAAAAGCATAACAGTATGTGGATTTATTGTCATTAAAAAAAGCAGAACAATAAGCCAATTACAGAGCTGCTCTGCTGAAAATAAGACACCAAAAGCTAAACCATGAAACTAAAACATACTGCACATCCATTCATCCATCCAGTCCAATGCAATCATGTGCATCTCTTCATTTTAAGTGGCCAGAGACTTGTTTAGCAATGAAAGCAGTGAAAGATGACTTTTGATATCTATAGTTGCTTTGCCAGCAGCTTACCACCTCAAACAGAGCACTTATGTGGAAAGCTACACAAAGGCTACTGCACATGTTACTACAAGTTGCGCCTTTGGATTGCCTTTAACCAAATGTACAACATTTGAACAAGTTTGGCTAACAAGCTCTCTACATGTGCACGCCAGTGTGCAAAATCCTGTAGGACTCAGACGTTAATCACACTAATCATCTTTTCTTTCAAATAGCTTCTGATAGTTTTTAAGAACCCCTACGCTGGTTGAAATCCCACTATTATCAAAACATAAGATGTAAAATTACTTGCTGAAGTCAATCAGTGTAAACTGAGGGTTAACTGTGCCATCAGAACCAGTAATCTCTCTTCAAAGCTCAAATAAATTATACACCTGGTCTTTTAATGGTGGTATTGTGTGTGTGAGTGCGGTTCTCTCCGTGTGTTAAGTTACTTCATTTTACTGAACTGCACAAGATGCATGCTTTCATGTTTTGCATTATAAACAGCAGGCACAGGGATGATGTAATATCTGCCAGTTACTGTGAAAACCGGTAGAAATTTAAAGCTGTTGTTCTAAAACATGTAATAAAACCACATCGGCGCTCTGAGCTGACAGGTTATTTCTTTGGACCGCGGCACACAAAGGAGCTGATGAATGATGTGTTTGTGAGAAGATTCTGTAACTTGCACAACTTCGTAATAACAGTAACAACAGTGCTTGCATAATTTTGTTAGTATGTGGTAATTGTGATGTTTTTCTTATGGATGTAGAAGACATTTTTTTTTCACAGAATAACATTTTCTTTTTCTCTTTAAGTTGATTTTATCTGTAGAAAGATTTCATTTTTCATGTTCCCAATTACTACTTTAGTTTAATATCATAGTTTGCACAAAAATGGGAACTGTTAAAATGTGAATTATGTTTTATGAACACATCAGTGTCTTAATTAGCAAAAAAAGCATGGAAGATTTATCTAGTTTAATAAAAAGGACATCAAAATGATTACATTTTATACTACATATGATCTAAATGGGTCTAAATTAAGGGCTAATATGTACTGTGATAACCAACCATTTGGTAGTGCCGCATGGTCTACCAAATATTTTAGTGCACTGCCATCTAAAGGCTCGAATGGATAATTACAGGGCTTGCGGTAAACATGGTTAAAATTAATTAATCATGATCTGCAAACGATTTGGTCCAAATAGTTCCACAGCTCCGTTCTCAGTTCTCCAATCCAAGCATTAAAAGGTCACTTTTCCAAAACAGCTTGATGTCAGTGCAATTTGAAATGAAACATCAATTTTTATTTTTATGTCTTAATATTTTCAAACGTTTCTATAAACTGTGCCATAGACATCATCAGTCACTGGATTAAAATAAAATAATAACATGAGAATAAATTAAGTTCTCACAGGAGCAGGGTGGTGATCAGCATTTAACAGCAGTATAACACACTGCTTAGATATTCAAAATAATTCTGCTGACTATCTCTTTTTAGTCTTCCTCCTTCTTCCTCTCCCCCCTCTCCCTCTTTATTCTTTTGTCTTAGTCTCTGTGGAGTTACCAAAGAGTGAATGTACCAGTAAAACAGATTTTATAACCCAATTAAAGGCTGATATACATCACTTTATAACAATATTCTGATATGAATATGAAATACTGCTGGCCATTGAAATGCAACATCCCTCTGTCTCACTGGAGCTGTACTGTACTGTTAAAGTAATACAATTAAAGTAATAAAATACATTAGTTCCTTGGCAAATAGCAGCATGGCACCAGACTACTGAATAAGAAAGCTAAAGTTAGCTCATGGTCTCTATCTAGCATACATTAGCTAACTTTTTGGACACTATTTAAAGATCAGATGTACATCAGAAGACATTTTTCACATCACAGCAATTACCCTGCATTTTAAGATAAAATGTGTTTAAAATTAGCCCATGAAATTACATCTTCATCCTCTTTCAGCAGCAAAACAAGTCCTATTTAACAATTTATGTTTTAATTTATGTTTACATCATGACAGCGAGAAAACTAGACATTTAGACCTGATTTCCTTGTAACCTTTACCTTCTGCAATAGACAAGTTGAGAATATATATAAAATTTGAGACATCAGTCAGAAAATAATATCAAAATACACTATTATTGCTACCATAACTTAGTTATTTTTATGGGTGGTATGTTGAAATTTAGGGGTACCAGAAAATAGGGTCTAAACTCACAACAGTTGTACCTAGTGCAAAATCTTCCAAAACTAGTAATGCATAAAACTGAAGTGGCATTTACTTTAATATCTTCAAAGCGGGTTTGTAAAGATGTGTTTGTTGGGTATGTTTGTGTTTACTTCAAGCAGTGTTAGTCATTGAGTTTGAGTCATGCAGTTCTTCCATGTGCTGATGTCAGTCACACAACCACTAATGGCAAATATTAAGCTTCAAATGGTTGTCAAGACCACACCTGTGGCTGAGAGTAAGCTGACATCAAAACACTCGTGCACACATGAAAGAGGTGTTTTAGAAAAATAACATGACTCAAACAGCATTTTAACGTAATATGATATGTAATTTATGCAGCGTTTAAATTCTGTTTTTCAAAGCATTCCTATCATGTCTGCTGCTTTAAGTGATGTGCTTACTTAACTGGGCTAGTTTTATCATTGAATAATACACCATCTGATTGCTACAAATTAAATTTTGTTTCATAATGAAGCACCTTCCCTGCTAAAATCACCACATGCTGAGTAACTGGCTGTTTTATAACAAATAAATCCTAAGAAGTGCATTAAAATAAACAAACTTGTCCTCAATTACTAAAAGATTTGTTAACATGAAAAGTTTTCTGTATCTGCTAAAACTCTGCAAGATTAAAAGAACATTAAAACGTTGTTGTATTAAAATAAATGTGGTCGCATGATCTTAGATACAGCCTACAACCTTACCCATTAAATATATTGCATTAGTTTTGGTGATAAAATATTTAATGTGTGTTTGGTAATATGTTTAGTAAACACAGTGGCATCGATTCTACAAAGGCTGATTCATACTTTCATCTCGTGAGGCATTTACTAATGTGCAGACAGATTCATGTTTGTGGTTATGTAAAATATTGAAGGGTGTAACATTTTGGCAATGCTAATCCTGCTTTTGAGAATATGAAACGTACATGAACAAACATTCAGTGGTTTTTAAAGCTCTATTTTATAGTCACAAGAAGAAATGTGGTGTTTATTCACAACAAAATAAATGTAACTGACACAATAAAAGATTCTGCAGAATATTGGGTTGAATAGACTTAATGGATAAAAGTATCCGGGCACATGACACTCTGTTTTCAGTCCTATAGCCATGCAGCTATGCAGTCTGCTTTCACAAACATTTATGACCGAACAGGCCATTCTCACTACATTTGAGTAATACCACACTAGATATTACATGATCAGCTGTGGTATTATTGCAAAGTGGAACCACAGCAAGTCAGCCATGAAGTAGCAGACCACATAAAGTTACAGACTTTACGTGGGGTCACTGTGCCAGTGCCGAAGTGAATAGTGTGCAAAAGTCTGTGTATGTATGATGCATACATGGGCTCTGCTTGAAGTCTGTGAAATACTATGTCAGTAATTCCACTTTTATAAAGCTCGACTTGAGTTGGAGATTTAAGTGTAAAATATAAGAGATGATGTGATTTATTCCTAAATTTAAACAAGACTGGGCTCATCTTGAAATTTCAATCTGTGTAAAATGAAACAATGAAACCAAAATGAAAATGCAGATTTCTATGCAAAGATACTGGTGACGGGAGCGAGAAGAAAGACAGCGTTTGACTGTTGTGGCAGAGTTTAATTTTCTGACACTTCATAGTTCTTATAACAAACAAACTGACAGAATACCGTACACACAGCAAACAGACAGAAAAAGCTCAGTTCAAAAAATAAAAAGAATAAGAAACAACACAAACAGCAATGCCAAGACTTTTAGAACAGACCTCAACGACGCCTTTGAAGTAAAGTCCATCAGATAATCACAACAAAAATCTTCATATATGAGTCACTCTGGTGTGAGAAAGGTGATTTCTCTTAATATACATTTTTAAAAAAGGTGAACGTGGTCTATGAAGCTGCAAAAAAGCCTTAATATGTAAATACTGTTTTAATGGTAACCAAAATCCAGCTTATGAACACCACGGCCGGGCAGATGCTCAATATTTCCAACAATAACGAGACAAAAAGTGTCTAAAGGGTTTGTTTTTGTAAAGCAGCATAAATAATACCACTACTTTGTTGTTCTTACAAAGGACAGAAAAGTGACCATTTTCACACAATACTTTCACCTCGTTGTTAAAACGTGACAAAATACAGAAATGCAACACAAAAAATACCAGTACAGCAAAAAAAGACCTCACTTGGTCCCTCAGGTTCCACGTTAACAAACAAAACCAAGAGAAAAATAAACACATTGTATAATTGATACAGATAACTATAGCACACTTGGCACAAACTATTCCAAACACGCATCTACCGACTTCAAATGTGCAACAGTGTGCAGCAAGTAGGTCTAGAAATGATAATCCAGTGAGGAGTAAGGCCAGAAATCAGTCCTACGGGGCTCAGCTCATTTTGATTTAATGTTAGAAAGTATCTCTGCTGCCATCCTGTGAGCATCTCTGAGACTGACCGAATTATTAGCTGCATATTCTTTAGAATGAGTTTGTTTTTGACCTTAAAAACAGCAGTTTGACAAAACTATGCCAACTCCAGGGTCACTCACATGTGCTGTTTATCCTGCTCAGAAGCTGGTATAATATTGGTTTAACTGGCTTTCAAGATAAACACATTTAATGTAAGAAAAAAAAAACATGTTTAAGGTGGAAATCACTGAAAACATTACAAATATGTCAAAAAGAAAGTAAAAAATAAAAAATCAACTAAAATTTTTAAGGTAAGACAGAATACCTGAAAAAACAAATAATTTTTTAGCTCTGGGTATTTTATCTACACTTAAAATATTTTCAAATATTCAGCGGATTTCGTTTTAGTTTTAGTTTTATAATGCCGAACCGAACACGAATACGTTACGTCCTGTAATTGTCCAGGTCGAGTGGTGCTCAACCTTCATGGCATTCAATACCCAAACATTCATGATGAACATGCACAGTATTATTTTCCATTTCAGTGTCCTGCTCAACCTTCAACGTGAGTGGCAGCAGCACAGTGGGCATAAAGCGTCAGTGCGCTATCAAATTCATACAAGCACTTAACCACAATTTATTTTTTAATATGAATTTTGTAGGTTGTTTGTCAGGATAAGCCCGGCAATATTCTCTGTTTCTGTTCCATAAGATGGCAACAATGTAACAATGAATTTAACCTAGCTCAGTAATTCTCAAAGTCTGGGCTGCAGCCCACTTGTACCCACAGTAGGTACTACAGGTGTTCTGTGAGAGGTATTTTATAATAAATAAAGTTTAACCTTATTTTTTAGTTACAAAAAATTAAGATTTTTTTATGATGGCTATTTAAATGTAAACATCCTATCAATTCATGCCATGTATGTGACCTAATTTGATCTGTAAAGTTTCCCCAATGTTGCCAATGGCAAATCAAGAGACGATCAAAGTGAATCTGTGCAAACACAACGATTTCCAATCTTAAGTTGTGAAAAAAAAATTGAAAATAATTTTTGATATTTGAAATTAAATTGTGGTGTTATTAAGATCGGAAATTGCTACAGTCACACCAGGAAAGAGTGCTTGGAGAGCATGACACCAAAGATATTGTGAGAGTGTGCAGTTGACTTGGAATCTTGCTTCCTTCAAAATGGCTTTTTCAAAGATGGGGACCAGGTCTGCAACCCCAGTTGCTGTCTTCAGTTTGCTGTCAGTTTGTGACAGAAGGGGCTCCAGTTGGCAAATTGTGAATCTGTTGCTGTCTGTTGCAAATCTGTTGCTATCTACATACACAGAAATTTACACTCAACAGAAATTTAAATGAACTACTTACATTCAGAGTCCAGTTACAACCTCATAGACTCAAAACAGAAATTTCTCCACAAATAGCGATGTGATGGTTGCTGCAAGACAGCGAAATGATATAGATGCAGCTTTGCTTTTATTTAGGAATACAAGCAGTTGGCAACAATTTGTGTTAAAATCAACTGCAAAGAGATGAGGCACAGATGAGTCCTGCACAGACTGACTCAGATTGATTGCTACTTGTTGGCAATCTGTCTACATTTATAAATTAGACGGCAATTATTTGCAAGCTTTAACCAGTCTGTCTGAGAGTGACTGGAGTCAGTTTGAGTCAGACTGTTTGGACACAGGCTGCCACGGAGCAGGTAACCTACAAAATCACCTTAGGATCAAAATTGGGCACCCAGTTAGTTTTTGAAACTACCTGCAATCGGTTGCTGAATGCAACAGTTTTACTGTAGTGTGACTGAGCCATAAACGATACTTCATTCTGGGACACTGTCGATACAATCATGTTATTCAGTATCCTGGCCTTACTAACACTTGCTGTTGTACTGAAACCAAATGTTGTAGTATTTCCCCTCCCAAAATATGCAATGTTATATACCTTTTATTATTATCACTGTTTCACTGCATGGCTTGTTTCTTCTTTACATTAACATGTCAGAACCCTCATGTACATTGTCCTTCTGCTGTACAAACTACTGCAACACATATATTAATCTGCAGGAGAAAATTATTTAAAACAAGTTATTTTCCTGTGTTTTTGTAACACAAACAGTTAAGACTAGGATGAATGAATTTCAGCTAATCAAGTGGTTGGTTTTGGTCTTTTCATGGGATGTACTGTAACCTCATCCTTCAACATTAAATTACACATTTGCTTTATAGTAATTCTCCGGTCAGCTCAAGGCTGAGAACCACTGCTCTGTTTCAATGCAGTACGACGACCGTCAGCCTTCAGTCCACATTCAGTGGGATTTTTCAAATACAACTAAAATCACAGTTTGGTTTGAGGAATCAACATAATGTATCGATACAATTATCCAACGAAAACAAAGAAACGCTGTTTCCAGTCTGCAACAAATGAAATACACATTTCAGGGATGATATTAGCAGCATCAGGCATGGCGACTTTAAACTAAAACAGTTTATGTTTCTCAAAATACTATAGACAATCACATAACACAAACATGACCAATCAGATTCAACAGCTTTGTTCTTCAGTATTTAATCCAACAAATCTTCTTTTTCACTGTGAATTCACGTCAAATTTACTGTGAATTTGTGATGGTCAACAGGGTTTGTTGATGTTTCTGCCAGTTGCACAATATCATCAGTTATTTTCCACCATCTCCACTGCTGTAGGAAACGTTTAGAAATGCAGCAGCTCTCATCGTATCTACAGTACATACACGACATGACACGAGCGTGATTCTCAGGTCACATATCTACAGTCCTCTACCTCAATAATGTCTCCATAACTGGTGAGTCCTCTGGAGTACACCTCTCTTCTCACTGACCCTGTATTAGGGAACACGGTACGTCCATGAATGTAGTGTTACCTGCTTCCTCCTCCTCTGCTTTTCTTCCCCCTGGTGGGGTGAGTTACATCTTTCAGCCACACAGTCACAGAGCCGAGACTTTGACGATGTTGGCGCCAGCTGAACTTGTTGTGGTCTGAATGCTCAAGGGTGGTGGGTGACTTGGAGGTTGGGGCGGCCTCCGCTGTGGGGGCCCGTGGAACCCGTCTCCATCAGGGGTTAAAGCAGGGGGTGTTGGGAGGCTGATGATGGCTGTGGTGATCCGGCCACTTTTGCAGTTGATCCTGCTGCTCTCGTCAGTTTTAAGGTTGAGGTTGGAGCGGCTGTTAAGTATAATTAAATGTGGTTAATGTCTAGTACAAACAGTAGTAATTGCATATGTAATTACATATCATTTTTAAGCAAAACATGTTCTGTAATTTCTATAATGTTTTTGTAAATTTGGGCAGGAAATGAAGATTCTGGAGAAATTTATATACCAAAGTTTTATCAGTTAACTGCACTCACAGTCAGCTTTATTATTTATGCCTAAACAAATCTTTAAAACAACACTTTATGACTTTATGGACAGAAGTACTGGGCCACCTACACATTACACCTACAGGAGCTTTTATGACATCCCATTATAAATTCATAGGCATTAAAATGGAAATGGTCTCCCCTCTGCAGCAATAATGGCTTCTACTCTTCTGTGATGACTTTCTACAAGATTTTGAAGTGTGTCTGGGAATTCTTGCCAATTCAACCGGGAGAACATTTGTGAGGTCAGACACTGATGAGGGGTATGACTCACAATCTCCACTGTTGTTCATCCCAAAAGTGTTTAATGGGCTCTGTGTGGGTCACTCAAGGTCTTCAGCACTATCAGCTGATCATAATGTTATGGCCCATGCTTTGCGCACTGGGATACAGTCATGCTGGAAGAGAAAAGGGTCTTCCCCAAACTGATTTTTTCAACACTGAAGCATAGATCAGTCCAAACCAGACCAGACCAATCCTAAAAATAAACAACCCTATAAGGTAAAATTCGGTGGAGGAGGGGTCTGGCATTTGCCAAACCAAGACTAATCCGTCATTCTGCCTGGAACTCCACAGAACATATTTCCACTGCTCCAGAATCCAGGGGCAGTGGACTTTACACCATTCCAGCAGACGCTTGGCATTGTGCTCGCATGCTGCTCTCCAGACGTGAAAACTCATTCCACGAAGCTCTCGTCAGACAGTTTCTATGCTATCCCAGAGGAGGTTTGGAACTCTGCAGTTATTCAGTCAGCAGAGCATTGGTAAGTTTTAAGCCCTGTGTGCCTCAGCACTTTGTAACTTTACTTGATCTGACACTTAGTAGCTGAATTGCCGTGGGTCCTAAATGCTTCCACTTTGCAATTTGCATACCACTTACAGTTTATCGTTGAATATTAGAAAGGAAGATATTTCAGACAGACTTGTTGCAACAATGGTATCCTAGTACTGTACCGTGCTCAAATTAATTGAGCTCTTTAGAACGACACATTCTTTCACAAAGGTTTGTGAAGGCAGAAGTCTAAATGCTCGATTTTATACATCTGTAGCAATGGGACTGAAAACACCTGGAACCAGAGACCAAGAAGTGTGACCAAATACCTTTGTCCATATAGTGTATCTAGTGATGCATTTGAGAAGTAAAATATGAAACATGTGAGTCCTTAAAATACCTTTTATTTTGAGAGGAATTTGTGTAATAAAGCTGTACAAAACTAAAATGACATTTTTAAAAGTTAATGTACTCTGCTAGTTAAAAAGTATAACTAATTTCTCAAAGATATATTTTATTTAATTAGATTATTTAAATGCAGCTGGATTAATGTTGACAATTGCCTATTCAGATCCATCTATTAAATGTCTAGAGTCGAGTGAGGGACTTCAAAGTGTACCCCCAGAGATGTGTTTTGGAGTGAAAGATTAATGCTTGCACACATAAAACAGTTTCAATGGCCAAACACCAGGAGTTTGAAATTTTTGCCAAACCTCTGATGCTTGCCCCTGCATCTGTTTTTGTTTCACCTGGCGGTGTGGGACAGTGGGTCACCACACTGTATGTGGATGGCACTGAGCTCCTGCAGCGGGCCCTGGTGTGTTGAATGGGTGGTGGGCAGGCTGGTGTTAGGCAGAGGAACATTTCTCTTTCTCTTTCGACTACAACAGGTACGTGTGGAGCTGTCATGGCTGGATACAGAGGGACTGCGTGAGGGATAGGTCTGCAGAGCCGTTTCCAAACAGTTCTGCTCGTATATCTGCTCGTCCACAAACTCGTGAGCCTGGAGAGAAAAAGATGAATGAAAAAAAAACATGGGGATAGCAAAACAGGAGAGAGGAAAAACAGCAGTCTGTAAATAGGCTACACAACAGCGTTATAGGACTTGTTGCCCAGTTGTACTTCACTTATAATTTTACAAAAGGAACCACACCAAAACAAATACAATTTAAAGAAATTATAAAAAATAACCTTCATCTTATCATACAAAAATCATGCACCTGGCTGATTTCCTTTATTGGCTGCCTGGATAACACTGTCAGTGTTTAATACAGATCTTAGCCAACATCTTTTGCAACAGTAGCTTTAAAGACTTTACAGTGGATGCAGATTTGAGACAAACCTTTACATGACGATCTAAATCCTGTCCTGTCCTCAAACTGTAGTACGAACCAGTGTCTTCTGTGTCTTGTTGCACAGGTCTGCACAGGTTACCATAGCTAAACTTTAACACAAGTATACCACAGACCAGGTTTAAGTGAACTTAGGGGTAGTTATGTTTAACAGATACTGTGAATATTCCTTTAATATCATAATTTAAGTTCAAGAGTAGTTTCATCCTCATACAGAGACTAAAGGAATACATAAATGTCCAACATTATGATGTACAACTGTTAGCTTGAAGCCAGAAAGTTCTAATTCAAGCTCGACTGACTATCACAAGTATAAACTGACGTATTCTGTCTAATAGGGAACCTTAAATTTAATGTGATTCAGTACTGAAAGGAAACTCATTTAAATGTTGAATCTTTACTTCATTGTCATGCCTGAAAATCTGAACAACTGTGTACAAAAACTCAGTTTGAATAAATATAAAACAATATAGAAATGTGAAAAATAGTGACAACATCGCAAATCACAAGCGACAACACAGAGAAAATAATAAAAGAGAATATTCCTCTGTCCAAATACACACTGGTGTGCCGTCAGTGACGCCTCATCTGTGTGAACTGCATGACAAAACTGTGGTGGGCAGTTCAGAAACCAGGTTCACTGCAGTGTAGCAGATTTGGCATCGTAATATGCCAAATGTAGTTTATGGTGCAGCTGAGTTGTAAAACCCCGCAAGTTCCAGTTTTTACAGACCCACTCTAAACCCCACACCCACAAAGTCCCATAACAACTGTCAACCTGGCGTGCAAACATTATGACATTTTTTTTAAAAATTATTTATTTTACCAAGAATGTGTTTTTTGCTTCCAGCTGAACTCAAACCACAGATTTGAGAGCAAAGAACACCTTACTGTGACAATGACAGACATTTTTGGCAATGCCCTAAACACCTTTTTTCATCTGTTTTGGGGGAAGTTGGCAGCTACATGCAAAGTCAGTGTGAAGAGCAAGCTTCTGATAAGGTAACATTTGGAAAATCTAAAAAAGTTTCATCGCTAGCTTCATTAATGTTAGCCAAGTTTTCAGCCATAGCTACACAGTGGACATGTATATTTATAACAGAGTGCACTTACTGTTGTTTTCTCCAGACAGTGCAGTAGGTGGTGGTGTTGGCTCTCTAACAGAGAGATGGACTTCTGGGTCAGCTTCTGCTCATCCTCTTCTGTACCCTGATTGTACACACACGCACACACACACACACACACACACACACACACACACGCACGCACGCACGCACGCACGCACGCATGCACGCACGCACACACGCACGCACACACACACACAGTAGGTATTAGTAGGTATTATGAAATTATTCAGGAAGTTGCCCTTGGACATAAATCTCTAGACATAAAGACCCAGATGCTGAGATTGCTCTTTGATATTTACTCAATACTTAATACTTTGAAAATGAACTTTTAGTAATGAAGTAGTAATAAAAAGCCGGAGGTTCTGCTTCATGGCATTCAGTTTCATCTGAACTCTTTTTGTTCATGTTTGATGAGTTTCTCCTCATTTCAGTTATGAACAGGTAGACAACAGCTCCTGCCAATTGCTTTCAAATAATTTACTTGTTACATAGTGAACCACATTCCTGTTTGGAGTGAATTGATCCCTTATCTTTAGGTCTGCTTAGCAAGTGGTTTGTCCACTTTCTCCAATTTGTAATTTATTTCCTATTTTGTAGTTTTTTGTTTTTTTAAAAAAAATCCACAAACAGCCTACTGTTTTTCTTTTATTTGTTTCCTTGTCTAAGCAAGCAGCAAAATAACTTCCAATTTCAGTTTATTGAGCAAACAACATGCAAATTATAAAACCGTGCTACTGCGAATCCTCTAACTTAATTGTCTAAGTAGGTACTGCTGAGTGTTATTTGATGCTGGAGGCAGCTAAACAGTTATTGATGTCAGAAGCTTCAGAAAGAAGAGAAATCGCAGAGTTTGAGGAAGGGAAAAAAAACCCACAGAAGCAGAAACTTATGGAACCCTTTGTTGGTATTTTTCCTGACAGGCTTAGTTTGAAATTCAGCCTTTAATATTCCTTTGTCTCAAAGTAACTGCAATTACCAAATAACATGAAAACTGAAAATGGTTAATTCTCTCCCCACACTGTTCATTGTTACTCAGAGGATTGGGGTAGGAGGCAAACCAGCCCATGGACTCTCATTTGGATTCCAGGAACATGAACAACACCGTCACGTGGGCACGTTTTCCGATCGCTGGATTTGTGCATTTATCCTCTGGCAGAGGACCTATACACACATAATATAGATACAGAGCGAGATTCAATGGTCTTTCATGTACATAAAGAAGCTGACTTTGTGCAGTCAGTAAAAGGAAGCTGATCACGATAACCGTGCTGCTAATGAATGATTGGACAATAACTAAATGTGTTTTTTCCCAATGTATTTGTAATAAAAAACTCCCCCTGAAGCAGTGGTTCCCGTATTTTGTTATATTTTATTTTCAAACTCCATTGCATTTAGTATATTTAGTAAACAACTAAACAAATACAAGTAAACTGCAGTAAATTACAGGTAGCAATGAAATAAACTACTAACTGTTTTACGTCCACATCTACACGGGTATTTTTGAAAACGCAGCTGTTTCTACGCGTTTGGGCCTTTCGTCCACACATAAATGGTGTTTCGAATCACCGAAAACTGCGACTTTTTTAAAAACTCAGGCTACGCCCACGTGTACACGGGTATTTTTGAAAACGCAGATTTTTCTATGTGTTTGCACCTTTCGTCCACACTTTGGGAACCTCTGCCCTTAAGTATTCAGTGTTATTCATGTGATGTCCAAAACTACAACAGTAATAATGAGATGTGTATAATTATGTGAACATATCTTTTTGAGGGACTGAGTAAATGAAATAATCCAAAAATTAATTGTCTTGATTAAAGATGTATTCAGGGATGCAGGACTCTTTTTATAGGTTATTTTATTTAATATTAAATGATGTATCAATTAATTTTGTTACTTTGTAGCAACTCAATTTATTTATTTCAGATTCAAGAAGGTCTTCTACCATCTGGGCATTTTTCAATATCCTCAAAATGGATGTATGACCCAAATGTCAAGTTCCTGGAGATGTCATTAGAGGGCTGTGATTTGTCAGTCTGGCTATCCAACTAATGTTGTAACTGCACTATTCAATCACATATTACCATAAATAGGTGTTCAAATCAGTTAGAGAATGACATTAATGCACTTTATCCAATGTTAAGTTACTTCTGTATTCTGGAGCTGGCCTGGCCATTGCCTCAATGGAAGTGTGAAGGGTAATATCAGTTAGTTTGGCATTTAGCTGTGAGTCAGGTCCAGGATGCTGTGAGTTCAGGATATATAGAGTGCTATGTGCTGTGGCCTCAGTCACACAGGCCTAGACCAGCTGGTCACCATCTGGCAATCACCGGTCATGAGGATTAAATGTGTATTCCTTGAATATGCCTCACCTTTGTCACAAGGTGAAATAAGTCACAAAGAGGTTTACACTGAACACCTGCAAACACTTGCCAACTGCTCTCTCCAAGCGGTAGTGAAAACAGAGAGTTGTACCTCAAAGTAAAAGGCATAACTTGACTTTGAAGGCAAATTTTCTCCATTTTTGGTAATAGTTAGGTTATAATTGCAGACAAGATTTTCTATACAGAACACAACAGCAGTTGTCTCAAGGCACTTTAACCCCAACAATCAGACGACCACCTATGAGCAAGCACTTGGTGACAGCGGGAAGGAAAAACTCCCACTCCCAAAACTACCATAACTGTGGGCAGCCATGGCAAACTGCTAACGACCAAAGCCATCTGAAAGAGGTAATCGGTGCAGCATCGTCTTTGCAACCAATTTCACCAAGTGACTCATATTGACCTCCATGCACCCAGTTTTCCTGGTGAGTTGTGGATACCGGATCTCTAGGCCTTTGTGATTGAGGTCTAAGCTAGCTGTTGAGTTACTACAGCAGTGCCTCCCTTTAAAGTTGGGTCTGCTTGTTGTCACTGTTTGTGCAATTATGCATATGTTGAATATAAATTGTGAAGCTTCCCACCTTTTTTCATTTTATTTGCTGAGTAACCAGTGAAATAATAAATATAGTTTTATTTAAGCTGATGTCCGAGTTGTTGCATACTTCTATAGCACATTGATCAAGATAGTACCTAAACTCAGATCTTATTCAAGATTCAAGATTCAAAGTGTTTATTGTCATGTATACAGAAGAAATAGCATTTCTCTGTGCAATGAAATTCTTCCTTTGGTGTCCATACACAAATGCCAAGTTAGGTAAGGGTTAAAGGAACAAGATAATAAAGATAAAAATAAGGATAAAAAGTGTGCTGATGTACAAATTGCAGTTGGGGTAGGTCAGCTGTTCAGGAGTTTTATAGCATATATTCTGGATGTATGCTGCTATTTGAAAAAAAAAGCCATTGTTTCTTAATAACAATTAAAATAAATATCTTGTTATATTTATCTTGTTATGGTCCAGTGTTCCACGACCAGGACGAAAACCGCATTGTTCCTCCTGTATCCGAGGTTCGACTAACGGACGAACTCTCCTTTCCAACACCCTGGCATAGACTTTCCCAGGGAGGCTGAGGAGTGTGATCCCCCTGTAGTTGGAACACACCCTCCGGTCCCCCTTCTTAAAGATGGGGACCACCACCCCGGTCTGCCAGTCCACAGGTACTGCCCCTGATCTCCACGCAACATTGCAGAGGCGTGCCAACCAGGACAGCCCTACAACGTCCAGAGCCTTCAGGAACTCAGGGCGGACCTCATCAACACCAGGGTGAGGGCCTCCAGCTCGCACTGGAACGGTTCGCAGCCGAGTGTGAAGCAGTGGGAATGAGGATCAGCACCTCCAAATCTGAGGCCATGGTTCTCAGCCGGAAAAGGGTGGAGTGCCCACTCTGGGTCGGGGATGAGTTCCTGCCCCAAGTGGAGGAGTTCAAGTATCTCGGGGTCTTGTTCGCGAGTGATGGGAGAAGGGAGCCGGAGATCGACAGACGGATTATGGCTGCAGCTGCAGTAATGGGGAAGAGGGAGCTGAGTGTAAAAGCGAAGCTCTCAATTTACCGGTCGATCTACGTCCCTACCCTCACCTATGGCCACGAGCTGTGGGTAGTGACCGAAAGAACGAGATCGCGGATACAAGCGGCAGAAATGAGCTTCCTCCGAAGGGTGGCTGGCCTCTCCCTTAGAGATAGGGTGAGAAGTTCGGCCATCCGGGAGGGGCTCAGAGTAGAGCCGCTGCTCCTCCACATCGAAAGGAGCCAGCTGAGGTGGTTCGGGCATCTGACAAGGATGCCCCCTGGGCGCCTCCTGGGTGAGGTGTCCCAGGCATGTCCCACCGGCAGGAGGCCCCGGGGCAGACCCAGGACACGCTGGAGAGATTATATCTCTCGGCTGGCCTGGGAACGCCTTGGTATTCCCCCGGATAAGCTGGAGGAGGTGGCTGGGGAGAGGGAGGTCTGGGCCTCTTTGCTTAGGCTGCTGCCCCCACGACCCGGCCCCGGATAAAGCGGATGAAGATGGATGGATGGATAAATATCTTGTGTTTCACCTTTTTGAGCTGCCAGACAGATAATTCAGACTTATTTCAACAGACTTATTTATGTATCCTTACTTTCTGTAAAAGGAAAAAGTTATTTCTTTTTTTTTTTTTCTGAAATGGAGATGCTGTAAACCTTCAAAAATAAGTGGGTGACATAAGGTATAATACCTATGAAAAATTTGATTTGGTCTAAGCGCATTATCAAGACTAGGAACACTCAGCTCCTGGGGCGGAAAGTTGATCATTTTGGAAACCTGAAAGTGTACTAATGCATAGCTGATGGCATGGGCATGCAGGAAGTACAAATATATGTTTATATACATATTTCAAGGCTTGATGGCATCAAGTAAATGAGTGACCCACTCATTTATTTTATATATATTGTCCTAGTTCACTACAGCCTTCTTTTTTTGCGTTCTTGTATGTGCTGATTTTTGTATAAGTGAAGCTGGCTTTTATGGGTGTGTGGCTTCTTTCTTTGTTTCTTTAGTGCATGACGCACCATTCCTCTGTGATACTGTTTTGAGCAGTTTTTTTATAGATTTAAATGACTCCAGGAAAAAAGATCAGATAAGAGATAAAGCTGTAATGCCTTCGTATGCAAGATTACCATAAAACTCAACAGGATTATCAATACCCGTGATCTAAGTAACAAATAAAAAAAGCCAAGATGCAACCAGACCCCGAGTGAACTTCTAGTCTAACTAATGACTGTGACAGAATCAGTGATTTTTGTCATATATCTCCACTCACTCCTACCTCGGACCCACGCAGCGTCACCGACTGTCAGAATTGACACCATCGTAATTTGATGCATCAGGACTCTGGCAGCTTCATCACAGACACGAAAAGGAAAGGGGGGTGCTCAGTGCTCACAGATGGCATTTATATGATAATTCTAACCACTTGCAGACACCCATGAGCTTTCATACTGGACTCTATTAGGTCCAAATGGATTTTAGTAACCATCTGCAAGGAGGGGAGTGTGTCACTGAAAACACGAGCGATGGTCTAGATGGATGGGATTTAGGCAATTTGCTCACACTTTACCTAACACATTTTTCCACGGTGGTTATAATATATGTATATATATATATATATATATATATATATATATATATATATATATATATATATATTGTATAAAAGAGTGAGGGGATGATTGATTCAAAAAGTAGAAAGTTCTGATCTTTATGCGCAGACATGCATTACAGTAGAGCAAATAATTATTTATGTCCTCTTCTTAGGCTAGGCATTAGAAACTGAATTTCAAAACTACTTTCAAGTTAATCTCTATTGTCTCCACTGTTTCATTGTTCAGCGGCTCCGTTTTGCTTTGAAGCCTCCTTTAATGCACTAACAACCTAATTATTACCAAGAGCGACTCGACAAGCAAGTAAGAACAATCTTACATCCTAGATAACCTCAGCTTACCGTTTTCACAGACACAGATTAAATCAAGTCTCAGACTGATGAACAACCAAAAAAAGCACTTTGTGTTATTACACAGATAACACTCACATGGGGCATTATTAGCCTCTGCTATCACCTCTGCCCTGCATAACAACAAGAATGTAATGGCTCCAACTTCTTCTTTTATAGCCTCTAAATTACTTTTAAATTGTTCTCTGTTTATTTGACAGTAATTGTTGCCACTTTGCTTGTGTTTGCGTACTGCAGATGTGAAGTTGTTGCCTCCAAGCAACTGAGTTGCAGTGAACTGAAATAATTAGTACATGGGCGTTTGACAAGGAACAACATGATTAATACTGAATTACAACCTGCTGGCATTGCACCATTTTTAATGAGCACACTTAATTAAAACAGCTTCCAAGAAATCATCGCGCCCACTTTGCTGTTGGTGGATCTTCGCATTCAGAGGGTCAGGGGTCTTTCTCACCGTCAGCTCCAGCAGTTCGTTGAGAAGTCCGTTGCGTTTGCTCTGAAGGAAGGCGTTGGCGCTGCCGGACTTGGCTATTCTTATCCTGGCCAGTCTGGCTTTCTGGGTGTGGGACGAAGAAGAAGTCACAGCATCAGACAAGGTAGGCGGGAGGTCGGAGAAGATGACTAATACCTATTTAATGATAAGAATCTGCCAACTCATCACACAAACTCTGTAGTAATTTTCACAGCTACTACATGACTGCTCTTATCTCTGCATTTTCAAGTTTCTCTCTTTCATTATATATGACAGAGACTGCTGTCATGTTCTTGTGTCTGTAACATGCTGCTACTGAGTATGTCTGTAAGTCGGCACCCAAACAATACACTCATTTGGGATTGCTGAAAATTTAATTTCAAGTCTGAAATGAGCATAAATATGTTGCTATCTAGCTGCTGCAGATTTTTGCTCACATTTAGCTGAAATCCCAGTAGTGATGTTGGGCGATAAGGCCTGGCTCAGTTTCCAGTTTTTCCCAAAGATGCTGACTGAGGCTGAAGTCACCAGCTAGAAAAAGGTTTTAGACAGCAAATTCTACGATAATGGCTTGTCTTTGTGTTTGGGGGAAACATGATAGGATTTCAAGTTACTGGAGGCTTATACCAACTCTAGATTACAGGTGTGCAAGAATATGAGGACCTTTAAACAGGTTTAAAACAGTTAAATAATATGTAAATACTTTGATCAGTTTTTAGTCTAACACAGTGCTCTTTTTAAATATATAAAGATCTCTTATGTTTTATAGAGAAAACAACAATCAAAATCATGAAAGCAATTCTTGGGTAGTTGTAGCTTTAATTGGGATGTCTAACAACAATTTTGCCAAGGCAGTGTAGATTGAATCAAAAAGCTTTTTTAAATGAATGTCTTCTTTTAACTTTTTATTCTTTCATCTGTAACTTTAGCCCTTATATTTTCTGATTCTTTACAGCTTCGCTTTTTCTAGTTTTTCCTTCCAGTCCATTGATACAGAGTTTTTTTTTTTGTTTTTTTTTTATAATTCATTTTATTTGGATCCCTGGAAGAGCAGCAAACTCTGACTAATCATAAATAAAGAATGAAGAATCACGATGATCTCTTTGAAACTCCAATTTTTGGCAGAAAGTTGTGAGACTTTTGAGTCTGAACCCTTCAGATTGATTCTTCTAAAAAGGATAAAACTAAAGAGTCGGTCCACCAAGAAAAGCAACAACAAAAAAAAATGGGCTCAAACTAAGAAAAATATAAATGCAACATGAAGCCAAGTCTTGCATTTAATGGTGCTGCAAGCACAAATTGATAATTTGCTGCATTAGTGCCAATTATGCCCATGAGAACCTACTGAGTTCACAACATTGCAAAGTCTGTTTGCCAACATTTATCAGTTTATTTTATTCCCTTTCTGTTGCAGCAAAAAGATAAAATTGCTTTAAATAACAGATAAAATAATAGAACAAAGGAGGCAGGAAATGAGAGAGATATTGCATTAAGGATTTCATAAAATGAAGAGGATATTATGACAACTGTAAGGTGAGCTTTATCTTTAACCTCACCCCACTGTGCTCTCTCTCTCTCACCCCCTTTATATACATTTAAGAAACAGGAGATACCGAAGAACATCTGCTTTCCAGACATGATTCAAAAGTAATATTTAGACGCTTCAAAAACTGCCTGTCAGACTAGTGAAGTTGTATGAAAAGCTGGAACCTGAGAGGTAATAATAGTGCTTGTGTATGTACGTGGTCAGTATGTGAAACAGGGGTAAAATGGGAGGATCATTGACTGCTTCTTTCTGCAGCTGAAGAGTGAATGAATTAGGAACCAGTGAAATTACGGTCACAAGCTGCCTGGCTTTATGATTGATCAAAAGTACTACTTGACACAAGAAAGGGAAAAATATGAAAGAATAAGCGTCTCTGATTCTTCTGTAAGTGCAAAAGGTTGTGCTGAGCGTCTGTGATGAGCTGCTGAGCCCAAACAGTTCTCTAAGAAACTTTTACTCTAAACACATGACAACTCCAGAGGTGTGATCGAGTCTCATTTAGTTCAAAGTTAAAGACAGTGGAAAATATTGAAGCAGATTAAGTCAAACTGCTTTAAAATCAAGTCCCTGAATAGTTAATAAAGGTATCACACATGGATCAATATTTGTCTAGCTGCAATAAAAATGATTTGTTTTCCAACTGAGCACTGTAGTGTTCATTTTTATGCTGTAAACCATTGTGTATGCTCTTGAACGAACTGCAAACCAGGCCTTTTAAAGGTCAATTTGCTTTTGATGGCCTTAAAATCCCAATGATTTAAAAGTTTGTCTGAGCCCCAGAAGGACTGAATGAATCTTTCACTGAAATGTTAGTGAAAATGTAACTGAAAATTCTCTACCAATGATAATGAATTTATTGTTTTGTCCTACAAAACTCATCATCATGAAAATGCCAAACAGAAAAAAATTATGTTTACTTAAAAGTAAGTAAAAAATGTAAATAAATAACTGAAACAAACCGAGGAATTTTCATATGTCAGATCAGGGCCGAATCCCAGTCCTCGAGAGCTACTGCAGCTTTTAGATGCATCCCTACTCCAACACAGTTGCATCAAATGGTTGGATTACCTTTTCAGCATGCCACCAAGTTTGGCAAAGGCCTAATAACAAGCCATTCATTTGATTCAGGTGTGTTAGAACTAGAGATGGCACGATACCACTTTTTTATGTCCGATACCGATACTGATATCATAAATTTGGATATCTGCCGATACCGATATGAATCCGATATAGTGTTTTTTAATCAACAAAACTGTTTTTTTAAAATATCTTGCTGCATTTTGTATAAGTTCATACTCAAGTTTAAAACAACAACTACACTAAAGCTATTCTGTTATACCTGTATGCAAAAAAAAATATTTCATAGTTCAGTAATACTGATCAATCTAATAAACTTAAACCTACACCATCCTTCCTATTCTGGTATTTTAAAGAGTACTTAGCGTAAATATTAAGCAACCTAACTAATAGGGTTCCAACTCCCAGCAACAACAAAATTAAATAAATAAAAAATAGGGAACCACCCCTCACGCTCCACCTCATGATGCTTAATCGACGTAATCAACCTTAATTTGATGCAGTGTGAAAAAAAATGCACAGAAATCAATTATTTTTCAAGAAATATTAAATAGATTCAACATCTTTCTTCAACAAAATTGCAGACTGCACAGATGGTACCTTCCCAAAGGAAAATGTACTATAGCTTACTAGGGTATATTAGACTTAACAGTTACTATATACAGTAATGGACTTCTATATATTTTACATCAGATTAAAACTTTGGGTGTCAGATTCAGATAATTATTTATTAAAAGCTCGACATTTTAAATGAGAATAAGAAAGAAAAGTATGTCTTTGTGCCCCCTTTTCCCTGTTCATGCCCTATCGGCCCCCCTGGCTAAACTTTGCTAGATCCGCCCCTGCACAGTTACAGCCGTCAGCTGCGTAGAAAAAGATCCTGGTGTAGAAAGTAATATTAAATACATTCTAACAACAGGGCCCTGTTTCAGAAAGCCGGTTTAGTGCAAAATCTGAGTAAGTATACCCTGAGTTAACGAAAACTCTGGGTTTTCGGTTTCACAAAGCGAGTTTAGATTAATTCTGAGTGAGTTACTATGACGACACACTCCGTGAAGCTAACCTGCCCCCTATCAGGTTTACTTCAACTAACCCTGACTTTCTCCGCCTCTTTGTCAGAAACCTGTAGATGTTGAAGCCCAAATTCTCCGCAGAGCTCTCCGCCGGGAGAGAGTGATTAGAGCGCATTTTATCATTTCCTGATGATTTTCTGTGTGAACGTTACCGTTTTTCAGCACAATCCATAATTTATTTGGATAACATCCTCAGGCCATATATTGCTCATGTGACACATCGCGGACATCCTCTCAGTTCTGTACATATTATTTGTATTGCACTTCGGTTTTTTGCAAACGGGAGCTTTCTGTATAATATTGGTGATGCTGAGCACGTTTCCAAGGCTACCGTCTGTCGGGCAGTCAGGAATGTTACAGTTACACTGAAACGTCTCCTGTACTCGTTTGTGGTGTTCCCCGGTCATAGACCCACAAGATTTATCAAAGAGGGATTCCACAAAATTGCAGGTATCAGGATGAACAAAACTTAATTCATGATGTGGTGATACTTGAACTACTACTTAAATTTTACATTTATTCTCACGGTTCCCAGGCGTGATTGGCTGTATAGATGGCACTCACATTCCAATCATTGCTCCTTCAGTAAATGAAGGAGACTATGTGAACAGGAAGTCTTTCCACAGCATTAATGTACAGGTACATAGTTCCCTGTAGCATTTCAAACTAACAAATTATTTCATTATAGTAATGGATGGTAATTTGTGTTCTCTGCACTGTGAAGATCATATGTGATGGTCAAAGGAGCTTGCAAAGAAAAGCGTCTGGACTTCTTTAAGTTACTTGAAGACGTTTCACCTCTCATCCGAGAAGCTTCTTCAGTTCTAAGGTCAAATGGTGGAGAGTCCCAGATATAAACCTAGTGGGAGTGACCCCCCACAGAGGGACAAAAGGACCCCCTGATGATCCTCTAATCGCCTGAGCCAAGGTGTGAAACTGGGTGTGGGTCCCAATCAGCCAGAGTTTCGGGTGTGTTCATTGTGAAACCTGGCCCCACCTTATCATGCGAATTCCTGAGATCAGATGGCCCAGGATGTGAGTGGGCGTTAAGGCGTCTGGGAAGGGATCTCAAAACTGGATTATAGATGGCAGAGAGTTGGTGTCGTAAACCCCCGCCTCTGTTCAAAGATGGTCGCTCACAGTGGACTCTTTGTGTGTGTTCTCTTGTGGGCACCACGGGTCCATCCGTGTTAACTCCGTGTTTTCTCCCTGTGTATCTTAACCCATGTTTGCTCTGCTCTCCATCTCCTTCAGGTTTCAGATTTGTTTGTTTGATCCTTAGTTTTTCTAGTTCAGGTTTTCTTAGTTCTGATTTTGCCTCCCTTGCTTTTGTTTAGCTTTTGTTATCGTAAGTAAAGCTCAGTCGCATCAAGTAAGTGCCTTCATTT